AGTTGGTGGAAGGGGCAAAGGTATGTGACCACCCTTGAGAAGGTGATGTGGGTGAGCTTTAACATCTTATTCCTATTCTTATAGTGAGAAAGTGAAACAAGGTGTTTCAGTAGAGGAATGGGCAGGGGCTGTTAGGCTCTTCAGCTTGCCTTCACCCATATAGCAGCTATGCTAACCCCAAGCCTCTCTGGCCCTGTTCTTCATCCTTCCTTCTGCCCCAATCCTGGAGAACAAGACACACCCGGCCATCAACACCACTCACATTTCCTTGGTGGAAGGAAAGGAACAGAGAAGTGAAGAACAGATGATATCTCCCTCCAAGGTCAAATGCCTCTTGATCTTCGCAGAGTAGGGATTGGGCAATAAGCATCAGGTATATCTTCCTTCTACAGATTCTAGAGAGCTGGGCCATTAAATATGGGGGACACTTAGAATACTGCCCCTTTAATACCACCAAATAAAGACCTTTGTGTGTGTGTGTGGTGGCGGGGGCAGGGGTCTTTCTCTTATGAACATAAATCTGTGAGCTGAACTCTCATTCCCCTGTTCCTCCCTACCCCCAAAGAGGCATGGAGTAAAGGGGCTTGGGGGACAGCTCAGCAACCCAGTGGGAGTTAGCACCCCCTCCCACCTATGATATGTGTGGACCTGGCCAGTGCCCCTCTGAACATATCATTATTAGTGTAATTATCATTTATTTTGTGTATTTGTTACATTGTGTGCATGACAGCCTTTGTTAAGGGTGTCTGAGGAGTATGGAGCTGACAGGGGCACTGGAATGCCGGGAAAGAACTTCTTCAACTGAGATCAAGGCTTCCTGGAGGGAACCACTGCAAAAAGGCCATCAGGCAGTTTTCAAGTTATGTGACAGAGGGCAAAGATGGCCATAGGGTGCTCTGAGTTTTGGGATGGTCACATGACACAATCCAGCACTTGAACCTGAAAAAAAAAATAAAAGCAGTCAAAGAGTTTAGAATTCAGTGCTGAGCTCTTCTCCCTAATCAAGTGCCACATTTACACCTTGGAGAACCAGAGGTGAAGAGGATCTGAGACAGGAAACCTCGTATTCAATGACTAAGAAGATGGGGTCCTGGAGCAAGACAGAAAACACTAAGGGCATGGTGGTATGAGGTTTGGGACATGCAGGCCAAGGAAGGATGGGAAGAGGACAGGAAACTGGGGGCAACTAGAACAACCCCTTTCTGAAAAGCTTGAGCCGAAACAATCCCAAAGACTACAAAACCCCTCTCCCAGCCTCCACAGAATGGAAGATCTAAAGATTCTCTTGAGGTGATCCAGGTAGTGTCCTATTCTCCTGCAGTCCCTGTTCCTAGGTTTCCTCAACGAAGTTTGACAAAAATCTGTAAACCAACATAGCCATCCAACTTGCCTTGTTACACAAGAGTGGCTAAAATAGCATCTCAAATATTCTTTCAGTTCACTGTAAAATTTTTTCCCATGTAACTAGAGCACAATTCCCCGGGCATATGAATTGGGAATGGCAAAAGAATATTGCCTGACTCACATTTTTAAAAAATAAGGAAAGCAGGACCCAGTGGTGTGCTCCTGTAGTTCCAGCTATTCAGGAGGTTGCGGCAGGAGGACCACTTGAGGCCAGAGGGTCAGGGCTGCAGTGTGCTATGATTGGACCTGTAAATAGCCACTGTACTCCAAGCTGAGCAACATAGTAAGACACTGTCTCTAAAAAAAAAGTAAAATAAAAATAAGGAAAGCTCCTGTGACATCAACCTGATCCAGAATTGGGGACAGGGCTGCTGAGGGTTCAGTGTACTGCCATGCTTTCCCTGTCTTATCAGTTCTATCAGCACATTGACCCTACCGGAGACCAACTACAAGACTGAGGCTGGAACTGGTTGAGTAGCAGAAGTGTTATGTATTCTATCTTCCCAAGGGAACCATATCCACATCTACCCCAACTTTGTCCTGAGCTGAAAATGGGTTTTCTCTCCCCGTGGCTCACTTGTTTCCTATACTGAGAGAACACCCAAAAGAGACCAACCACTCAAGTTGACTTTTTACAAGTCTTTTCTTCTTTATCTTAAAATATCCTCCAACTAAGGGCATGAGAAGCTATCCTATACTCTGACCTTGCCCATATTTTAAATGGCAGGGGCCCCAAGCTAAGAATCAGCAGGCAGTGGCATTTACAGCTTCTGGTCTATAGTGGAGCAGAAGCAGGAAAATCAATGCTCCAAAGCAACAATGTCCAGCTTTCCTGCCAGTGAGCTGGGGTTGAGGGAGTGAATGGGACTCTTTCTGCCTTTTCTTTTTCTCCAAATACAACTGCTAACTGGGTGTATGCACACACAAACATGTTCAAACTAGGGCACTCACACCTAGCTAGAACCTACTCGGAAAGAAATATGTATTTCCATAGTACCCTGACACCCAGTAAGATTAAGAGCTAATATTTATTAAATGATTACTATGTAAATTATGGTAATCAAATTGTAGTGTGAATACATGATATAAGAGTATCACTTCATTCACACAGCAACCTTCACAATGGGGTTCCTTTTGGTACAGTCTGAAAAGAGAATGATTATCGGCCCAAGGTCTCAGAGCTAGTGTGGCAGAACAAGAAATTAAACCTAAGTAGTTGCTAAACAATATTACATTCTAATCTATCCTATTAAAAGTGATCCAGGAGGTAGAAACCTAAATACAGGAACAACACAAGGGAAAGAGATAACAAGAAAGTTAGGGACACCTTGGGCTCAAAGAATCTGGAAAGATGTGAAATCTGTAATTGTCAATCCCTTTGGAGGGAAAAACAAGAAAAGCCTAGATATGGCAAGAGAAGGGGAGGTTAAATTTTGGGGGGATTCCAATAATCATATAAGAGAACAGCAAAAAAGTTATCCTCCCTTAAGCTCCTCCCTCACTCCTCATGTCAGACACAGCAAGAAAACTCAGCTCAACACCAAGAAGTCCTGACCTTATCCACACCTTCCTTCCTATAGCCCTCATCCTCACAGAAGCTTCTAGCCTCTATCTTCAGTTCTTAAGAGATGGGGTGAGGGGCTGGGCAGTTTAGAGTGAGAGTGGAAAAAAAGAGAATAATCCTAGAGAACCATAAAAAAGTACAGATTTACAGCTGAGGAAGCTAGTTCTCCCCACAGCTTTTATAGACTCCCTCATTAAGAGCTTCCAGGTATGCAGAGAATGTCACAGCTTCAGGAACTGGAATCAGTTAACCACATCTGGATGCTGGATCAGCTACAGTAGGGAAACTGGGGGATAGGAAGGAAGGGTACTAAGATCTCAGGTAAACAATTACAAGCCTCAATGTCTGTTCCATCTCCAAATGGAATTACTGTTTTAAAACTGAATTGGGAAAAAGGCATCCTGAACTATTCATGTTCAAAGAGTATGTGGGGAATTATTATAACGAGATAGGAAGGGGAGGATTTGATCTGGCTCGGAGGTTAGAGACTTCTGACCAACACAGGAACAGCTGCTGAAATGGGAAGAAAAAGGTTAGTAAGAAAAAAAATATCCTCACCAATTGGAAAACACTGTTCAAAGATCTGGGGGAAGATGAGTGAGGAGAATAATTAGGCTTCAAGAAGAGAATCCTGGCAAGTAAGGCTGAATATCTTTCTGGAAGGTTATAGAGGATAAAGAGACAAAGAGACAAAGTGAAGAAAACTTCCAAAAGATCCACTGTTCCACTTCATAGTCAGCATCTGCTCTATTCCCTCATGCATTTTTCTCTTTTTAAAACCACATTGAGGTAGAAACCATTAGTGAATCTATGATCTCTCAAATTACAAATAAGATCTATTCTGTTTTCAGATGCAGACAGAGTAGAGACAGGAAAAGCTAGCCCCAAGATCAGAGCCTGAGGTAAAGAAAAGGGAGGCAGACAGAAAAGAGGGAAAAAGGGAAGGTCATTCCAATTGTAAGGTTTATTTGGATGAGGAGGTGTCAGAAATTTAACCAGCATTCCCTTTTGTTCACTTCTCCAAAGTCTCAGAATGGGGCAAACTTCACAACAAATGGGCAGCAGTTTTTGGATCTGCTCTCCGAGGCACAATTTTCCTAAAGTATCTAAGCTTTAGGTCCCTGCCTTCCTCACCAACCAGGGACTTTAGAGAAATAAAGAGATTCTTGACATTAGAAAGGTGATCAAACCATTACCATTTCATTAAGCACAAAACCAGGCAGGTTTTAGTAGAAATAAGGATAAAGGATTATACCACAGCAACATGGGATCTGATCATAGTACCAAAGTTTTCAGGTAAGGTGCCAGGCTCCTAAATCTTATTACCAAAAATAACTCAAACAAAAACCAAGCTTACATAAAGATTAAGAGGAGAAACTCTGCACTAACATATACAAAAAGATTAAGTAGGAGGTTTCAGACCTACATGAACTTGAAGCCTCCAGTTCCACTGCTTATGTTCCCAATGACTTAGCTAACAATGTGCAACAGCTCTGACATCCTCTGTCATGCTTTGATTCCGCACACAAAATTTCTTCTATCTCTGAGGGATATCCAGCCCATCTCCCTTCCTGAACTGACTGACCAACACAGTATCATGCCAGGCCACCCTTGAAATGAGGGCCCTTTTCCTCTAATGTGGGACCCTGGACTCTATTTTATCCAAGAAAAAGTCAGCATTATTAGCTCGGAACAGAAGGCTGCTAATCACTGCCCTTGTATTTATGTCCTTTGCAACACCTAAAACCTCCCATGTTCTGTTTTATTTCAGCGGGTCACTACAAGCTGCTGGAGCAAAGACTTGGTGGGTGGGTAACTTAACCTCTTCACAGAGGATAAAAAATGCTTGTGAGTATGAGAGAAGGGAATAAATAGGCTTAAAGGGTAAACTCAATCTTTTTCCTCGTCTTCTCTTCTAAGGGATAAAGATGTTACGGCCAATTCTCTCTCTATAATATTTGCCCTTGAAGCTCCTCTTATCTGGTCTAATCTGGCTCCAATAAATCAAAGGAGCACCTAATAAAACACATTGTTCTCTTTTCTATTTTTTTTTTTTTATTAACGAGCAACATAATCAAAAACAAAAACACAACAACCTTAAAGCTGAAACAGCAATAAGTCAAACTGCTGCCGCAGTTCACGGATGTACCTGGGGTACATGCTCCCTCATTGCGAGGCAGGACGTAGGCACGTGACTGTGCATTTAGGCATATATGTGACCAAGAAGAATGAGAGAAATGGAAAACACTGGAGAACAGATAGTATCAAGAACTTTTCATCAGGCAATCCCAAAGCGCTCTGCTCTTTTCCTCTTCTTTGCCTGTAAAGAAGCAGCAAGAAGAAAAAAATTAGACTGAAGACAATAGTTGCCTGGGTTCCTGGCCGCTTTAACCCAAACTCACATGAACTGTCACAAGGCCCGAGAAGGAAGGATGGCCCAGACTTGAGCTTGGCAGCTAGAGATTTCATTCCTGAATCTCTCCAATCTTTCCAGTTAACCAGGAGGAGCTGGGAAAGTTTAGCGGCTAAGGAGGGTGAGGAGTAAAGATTATCGGGGGCGAGGAAGAGAGAGAACGGTGGTAGAAAATGGGAAGATTCCTGAAGGAAGACCACTCAGCCTTAGATCAGCTAGCCTGGAAACAACAGGCTCTTAACAGGCTGGGGAAAGTCTTCCAGTCAATGGGGAGATGGAAGATTTCAGAGGATAAAGGATTAAGAAATGCTATTCACAGAGGTGAAGGAGATGCCCTTCTGAGCAGTCAGGCCCAGACAGTAGCTATTCCTTAGGACTCCAACTCACAAAAAAGGCATATAAATCTTTGATGCCAACAGAACGAACAGGGAGTGAGTGGTATGTGGGTGAGTCCCTATCACAGATCTCTTAAAGGAGGCAGCAACACTGGAGAGGACACAAAATGGTGAGGGAAGACTTCTAGTTCTGGAAGTGACTCACAGAACAGCACCAAGTCCTTCATGGGCACTCCCAACCACTGCCCCTTACAGAATACAAACTCCTCTGGCTTTTTTCTAGTGAAGAGTGCTAACTGATCTGATTCTAAAATTTTCAGGGTTTAATTTACAAGACTAACTCTGATACTTATTCATAAAGAAGCTTTTCATAGGCCGGGCGCAGTGGCTCACACCTGTAATCCCAGGACTTTGAGAGGCCGAGACAGGCAGATCATGAGGTCAGGAGTTTGAGGCCAGCCTGACCAACACGGCGAAACCCCGTCTCTACGAAAAACACAAAAATTAGCCAGGTGTGGTGGTACACGCCTGTAAAGCCAGATACTCAGGAGACTGAGGCAGAAGAATCACTTGAACCTGGGAGGCGGAGGTTGCAGTAAGCTGAGACTGTGCCACCACACTCCAGCCTAGACGACAGAGCGAGACTCTGTCTCAAAAAAAAAAAAAAACAAAACCTTTTCATAAAGCATCATCCTGTTGGTACAGTCCTCAAGATAGTAAGTTTTTGTAAGATATGGCCATTTCTTCCACCATGATTGTAAGCTTCCTGAGGCCTCCCCAGAAGCCAAGCAGATGCCAGCACCATGCTTCCCGGTCTCATGTATTTCTCCTTTATAGCAATGCAAGAACAGCCACATATATATATATATATATATTTTTTTTTTTTTTTTGAGACGGTCTTTCTCTGTTGCCTAGGCTGAAGTGCAGTGGTGCAATCTGGGCTCACTGCAACCTCTACCTCATCCTCTGGAGTAGCTGGGACTACAGGCACATGCCACCACACCCAGCTAATTTTTAAAAAACTTTTAGTAGAGATGAGGTCTCACTATGTTGCTCAGGCTGGTTTCCAACTCCTGACCTCAAGTGATCCTCCCACACTGCTCTCCTAAAGTGCTGGGATTCTTTCATTTTGAGAAACTATCTGTAAACAAAGTGACAAGAACAGGAAATCTCATTTGAGTCCATTGTCCTTTTCCAGAAGGGAGTTAGGCACAACCAGTACTTATTAAATATTTTAAAACTATCCCTTTTTACACAGAATCGTTTCATTCTTTAAATGTCACTTTGAGGTAGGTATATTATCTCTACTTCCTGGATGATGAAACTGAGGCTCAGGAAGTACTATAACTTATTAATACTAAGTGGCAAAGCCTTTTTTTCTTTTTGAGACCAAGTCTCACTCTGTAGCCCAGGCTGGAGTACAGTGGCATGATCTTGGCTCACTGCAACCTCTGCCTCCCGGTTTCAAGAGATTCTCAAGTCTCAGTCTCCAGAGTAGCTGGGATTACAGGCACACGCCACTGCACCCGACTAAGTTTTTGTATTTTTAGTAAAGATGGGGTTTCACCATGTTGGCTAGGCTGATCTTGAACTCCCAACCTCAATCTGCCCGCCTCAGCCTCCCAAAGTGCTAGGATTACAGGCATGAGCCACCGTGCCTGGCTGCCTTTTTCTTTTTTGAGACAGGGTCTCACTCTATTGCCCAGGCTGGAGTACAGTGGCAACATCCAGGTTCACTGCAGCCTTGACCTCCTGGGCTCAACCATCTCAGCCTCCTGAGTAGCTGCGACTACAGGTGTGTGCCACCACGCCTGGCTAATTTTTGTATTCTTAGTAGAGACAGGGTTTCTCCATGTTGCCCAGGCTCATCTCGAACTCCTGGGCTCAAGAGATCTGCCTGCCTCAGCCTCCCAAAATGCTAGGATTACAGGCACGAGCCACCACACCCAGCCCAGAGCCACTTTTAAAATCCAAGCCTACCTGATTCCAAACGTTATACTCTTTGCCACTAGTCTAATAGACTCTAACACTGAATTAAGTATATTGATGGAATTCAGTGCTGCCACTTCATCCAGAAAAAAATTTATCAAGAAAAAGGCAAAATATTTGGGCACTTAAGAAGTAGGTGGGTGGTCAGACATAGTGGCTCATGCCTATAATAATCCCAACAATTTGGGAGCTGAGTGCGGAGGAACGCTTGAGTTCAGGAGTTTGAGACCAGCCTGAGCAACAGAATGAGACCCAATCTCTACATACATACATACATACATACATACGAAGTAGGTGGGAAAACAGTGTTTCTCTACTCAGTTTATTCACTCACTTCCTGAGTAACAGAGACCCCATCTCTACTTAAATAAGTAAATAAATAAATAGGTGGGGAAACAGTATTTCTCCATTCAGTTTATTCACTCTAATTTCCCTTCAAGGTCTATGAAGCATTCCAGGTATATTTTTACCTCTGTATCCTCTGTGGTTCCAGTTCCAGCTGAACTTGTGACAATCCCAAATCGCTCCTTCCTCTTTTTCAGTTTCTCATCATCTTCAGACTGTTCAGGGACAAAGGAAATAATTGAAACAAACTAGCCTCCATTCACCAAGTAAATGGGAATGAAATGATAACTTATTGGTCACAAGGTGCTAACCAACCTTGCACCAAGAACTAAGGATCACATAAAGAGATAAGATACATAAGAAACTGAATAAGCTAGCATATACTATATTGTACCTATAATGACTAAAAACTTAATTTTAGGCAGGGCCTCAATACTCATAGACAAGTAGAGTAAATAAACAGTAAGAGGCTGGGCATGGTGGCCCACGCCTGTAATCCCAGCACTTTGGGAGGCTGAGGCTGGTGGATCCGGAGGTCAACACCAGCCTGGCCAAGATGGTGAAACCCCATTTCTGCTAAAAATACAAAAAAATTAGCCGGGTGAGGTGGCAGCCGCCTGTAATCTCAACTACTAGGGAGGCTAAGGCAGAGAACTGCTTGAACCTGGGAAGCAGAGGTTGCACTAAGCTGAAATTGCACCACTGCACTCCAGCCTGGGTGACACAGCAAGACTCTGTCTCAAAATAAATAAATAAATAAAATAAAATAAACAGTAAGAAACACCCATAAAACAAATTTCTATGCTCAAGCAATTTTGGCAGTTGAGGGATATGGAAAACTAAGGTTTCACTGAGTAACACCCAGTTACACCTAGTAACACCTAGTTAGAAGGTACCCAAACTACTTGTTGAACACTGCTTACACGTTACCAAGGAAAGAAAGGGGAAGAGGACCAGAGTGGTATTTCTGAAAAACTTATTTGTTTGAAACACCCAGCAAAGCCATAGAAGGCTTCTTTGAAATGATTCTTAAAACAGGTCAATCAAGGTGACAGCCACAGTCAACTCTTTAAGAGAAATGCTGTGGACATTTTCCAAGCATCTGTGAAACTCATGATGTCTGCCTGGGAATGAGAGAATATTTCAGTTTACCATGACGGTTACAAAGCAATTAAGAATCCTATACAAGTTATCATTTAATCACAGTGTATTACTAGAATAAACTACTGCCTCCACAGTTTTTCTGCCTTTCTCATTATGACCACCAGCAAATCCACAATGGGTACCTCATTAATGTACTCTAAACTATTATAAAAACATTAAGCCAGGTTCAAAAAAAAAAGAAGTATTCTTGTCCTCAATAATAATAAATTAAAATAATAACACTATAGCCATTAACATATGAGTGCTTAGTATGTACCAGGTACTGTGTGTAGTTCTTTACATGCAGTATCTCATTTACTTTTTTTTTTTTTCCCCTGAGACAGAGTCTCGCTGTGTCACCCAGGCTGGAGTGCAGTGGTGCCATCTTGGCTCAATGCAACCTCTGCCTTCCAGGTTCAAGCAATTCTCCCGTCTCAGCCTCCTGAGTAGCTGGAACTACAGGTGCATGCCACCACGCCTGGCTAATTTTTGTATTTTCAGTAGAGATGGGGTTTCGCCATGTTAGCCAGGCTGGTCTCGAACTCCTGACCTCAGGTGATCCACCCACCTCAGCCTCCCAGTGTTGGGATTACAGGCGTGAGCCACCGCACCCAGGCTCATTTACTACTTTATTTTCATTTTTGCAGAAAGGGGGTCTCGCTATGTTTCCCAGGCTAGTCTTGAACTCCTGGGCTCAAATCAATCCTCTTGCCTCAGTCTTCCAAAGTGTTGGGATTACAGGTGTGAGCCACTGTACCTGGCATCATTTACTTCTTATAATAATCCCATGGAGTAGGCACTATAATTAAATTCATTCCATAGATAGGAAAACTGAGTCTTGGAGAGATTAAGTGACTCGCCCAAAATTTCACAAATAATACGAGGATTGGAATCCAGGACATTTTACTCAGCAATCCACTTTCTTAGCTTTACCACCTCCTCAAGGTATCTCACTTAAGTATTTCTTTGGAAGAACAGTAGGACAATTAAGTGCTTAATTCAGAAGGAAGAAGGATCATCAGAACCCTTAGCTAAAAACACTAGTAAATTTTAATCACTTCACTCAAATAATCAGGTCAAGAATACTAGGACCCCTTCTTCTTTCTAGCGTACCATATACCTACAATTTATAAGTAACAGTATCTAGGGAAAGGGCTCCAGTTAGTAATCTTGTACTAATGTTTTTCTCAGCTGAATCTGTTTCTAATTTTGCCTAATTGGCTATTCCATTTGTTGAGATGTAATAAAAGAATAAGGGGCTAGGAGCAGTGGCTCACACCTGCAATCCCAGCACTTTGGGAAAATTCCAGGAAGGATTTTCTAAAATCACCTGAGGTTGGGAGTTCGAGACCAGCCTGACCAACATGGAGAAACCCCGTCTCTACTAAAAACACAAAATTAGGCTGGGCGCAGTGGCTCACGCCTGTAATCCTAGCACTTTGGGAGGCCGAGGCAGGCGATCACCTGAGGTCAGGAGTTCAAGACCAGCCTGACCAACATGGAGAAACCCCATCTCTACTAAAAATACAAAATTAGCCAGGTATAGTGATGCATGCCTGTAATCCCAGTTACTCAGGAGGCTGAGGCAGAAGAATCTCTTGAACCCAGGAGGCGGAGGTTGCAGTGAGCCGAGATCACGACATTTTCCAGCCTGGGCAACAAGACCAAAACTCCATCTCAAAAAAAATAAGGCTGAAAATAAGAATAAGGCTGGATGCAGTGGCTCACGCCTGTAATCCCAGCACTTTGGGAGGCCGAGGCGGGCAGATCACACGGTCAGGAGATTGAGACCATCCTGGCCAACATAGTGAAACCTTGTCTCTATTAAAAAAATACAAAAATTAGTTGGGCGTGGTGGCGCGTGCCTGTAGTCCCTACTCAGGAAGCGGAGGCAGGAGAATCACTTGAACCCGGGAGGCGGAGGTTGCAGTGAGCCAAGATCGCACCACTGCACTCCAGCCTGGTGACAGAGCCAGACTCCATCTCACAGGAAAAAAAAAAAAGAATAAGGAAGGTTTCCAACAAACATTAAGTCCCACCACATTTTTTACTAACAAAGTCAAGAGGGAAAGTTTTCTTGATCTACTACCACTAAGATAAAGTGAATACAGAATATAAATAGAGATTTCAAATTGAGAACCTCTAGAATGTTCTAGTTGATATATCTTCACTAAGTCTCCTGGCCAAGTAGGAAACAGTTTTCAGGAAAATAAATGGAGGCTCTCTTCTTGTGGAGAAGCAAGACTAGACCACCATCTTTAGTTAAACTACCATTATACACTTTTTTTCCATTCAATTTAGCACTAGCAGTACTTCAGCAAGTTCAAATCACAAAGGAGATAAGACTTTCGAAACTCAGAGGTTATATCAGCACAAACCCTGAGGCCACATCCTCCCCCAACGTATGTCCACTTGGAATGTGCAGGCCAGTTTTGCTCCTGGTTCTTTATTTTGCTATATCCTGAAATGGGGAGTCTGATTTCTCCATTAGCCACCTGCCTCGCTTCCCACCTTTTTAAGAGACAGGGCCTCACTCTGTTGCCATGCTGTAGTGCAGTAGCATGATCATGGCTCACCGAAATGTTGAATTCCTGGGCTCAAGTAATCCTCTAACCTTAGCCTCCTGAGTAGCTAGGACTACAGGTATGTGCCATGCCTGGCTTTTTTTTTTTTTTTTTTTAATAGAGACAGGGTCTTGCTATGTCGCCCAGGCTGGTTTCAAACTCCTGGACTCAAGCAATCCTTTCACCTTGCCTCTCAAAGTGCTGGGATTACAGGCATGAGCCACCACACCCAGTCTAGCTTCCCTTTTTAATAAGATCTTTGGTGCCTCTTCCAGAGATACAGGCAGAGCATCTGTTCTAAACCCATCAGGAGTTCCAGGGGAAACAACAACAACACTACATCTTTCCCCCAACTCCCCACAAATAGATTGCCCTTCCCTCCCCACCCAGCACCCCTCAGCTCCTCTCTTAAAGCCTCTTTCCTCCTTCCCCTGCAGGGAAAGTGCACAACTGGGCCCAGTAAATCAACACAGTTCTAATGATCTCTCTCACTTGACCCTTCTAGCGTGACGGTGTCGCATGGAAACAAATGTACAATAAACTTCACTCCATCTTTAGCTCCTTGCTGACAGGTTTTGATTCATGGGATGGCGAAACCCATCTGAGGGAAATTACCTCGATCAAAACGCATGTCTCTCTGCATTCATCAGGCCAATGCTCCCTCAGGCCACGCTCAAGTGCACAAATGGGGTTGTGGCATCTGCAGGCAGCAGTGACCCCTCTAGCTCAGTGTCACATGCATTTGCAAACCTTTCCCTTCTTCATCCCTCCCCCACCACCCTCCCTCAAATCCTCAACTACTAACAAAACTCTTTTTTTTCCCATGCATACTGCTGTGTGAGAAGTGCTTGAGTCTGAAGTGCCCTTATTTCCTATCAAATCTATACTCCTAAAAACAAACAACTTGCACACAAAATCAAGAGAAAACTGTCCTTACTGGCCAAACACAGGCATTGGAAGTTCAGATTAATCCATACATTTCAATTCCTCCCTCCTCTTCCTTCTCAAGATTTAAAACACCAAGCCAACCAACTGATGGATGCCAGTAATTTCAATATATGCAACCCTCATGGTACCCAATACCTGCCTTGTTTGCTTTCCTTAAGATCTCATTTATAAAAATGAGAAATAACTGTGCAAAAGAGGAGAGAGTACCTATATAAGAACATAAAGCATAGTTTTTGGGGTTTTTTGTTTTTTGATTTTTTTTGTTGTTGTTTTGAGACAGTCTCGCTCTGTCACCCAGGCTGGAGTATAGTGGCTCGATGTCAGCTCACTGCAACCTCCACCTCCCAGGCTCAAGGGAGCTTCTTACCTCAGCCTCCCAAGCAGCTGGGACCACAGGCGCAAGCCAACACACCCAGGTAATTTTTGTATTTTTTGTAGAGAGAGGGTTTCACCATGTTGCCCAGGCTGGTCTTGAACTCCTAAGCTCAAGCAATCTACTCGCCTCTGCCTCCCAGTCTCTGCCTCCCAAAGTGCTGGGATTACAGGAATGAGCCACCATG